TCATGGTTTACACAGCGTCCCCAGTGTGTCACATTGTCAACCCACAGAGACATTCCAGAGGGCATGTGACTTGGTGTTAAGACTGGGACACCGAGCCTCGTGGAGGATGCGTTTTTCTGGAGCTCATAAACTGACATGTGGTCGGGATGGGTCCTCATGTGTCTAGAGATCTCCCCCACTGACTTCTCTCCAGTCGTGCCCCACAGGAAAAGTCCAAGCAGAGCCCTGTGGGCTTAAAGGGGTCACGATGACCTCAACAGCCTCCTGCGGTTCATCTCACATCTATGGTTTCAGAGAATGATAGGCTCACAGCCAAAGAACTTCCTGAAAGGCTTTTCTGTATTTTTCAAGGCAAAGTCATGTCCCAGTGGCACTGTCTACTGGATAGATTCTTTAAAAACAAAGTAGCAAAACTATTTTATTATTCAATTTTAGATTCCGGGCTCTCCTGAGATTATTTTGTCTTGCTGAGAACCTCTTTATCCTCAGCGTGTTTGTCATGTTTATTTTTATACTTATAGCAATTCATATACCCTTGTAAGAAATTTTATACCTCGAGATAAATGCAAAGTTGTAATACTGAATAACTATTTGCAACCCTAAGATAAGTATTATTGCCTCCAATACAGAATGGTAATCACAGACTACATAAGGGGCTTCCACAAGGTCACATTGTGGCTCAGAGGGCAAACTGGAAATGCCATTTGTCCACACCCTTCCCTTACTTCTCCACTAAACACATCCTTTCATAAATAATTGACAAAGGCTACGAAGTTCTGCAGGGAATCAGTATTCATAGTGCCATGCCGCTCATCTTCTTTATGGTTTTTCTATTTTCTAACTTCCAGATAAAGCTAAGAGGAATATTTGCCGAGGTTGGTCATTTCTTTCTTCAAATGTCTTTTACTAAACTATAAGTTTGTATGAGACTGAAATTGACTCCACATTCTTTATTAGTTATTGAATATCTTCTGAAAGCCCCTCAGATAGCTTCTCTCCCTGTGACTGAGGACTAGTTGAAACCCAAGTGAAACCCTCCAAGGACTTCTTGCCTCTGTGTTCACACACACACACACACACACACAAGTGTGTGTGTGTGTGTGTGTATGTGTGTGTGTGTGTAATATATGGCACAATTTCATTTCTTCTTTGGCTTTTGGAACCTGTGTGGATGTCAAACCAATTACACTTAATTTTATTTATAACTTCTATAGCATAATAAAGAAATACCTTTGATGCTATGAAGGTAAGTCAGGAATGACTACTACCCTCTCTTGATGAGCCAAGACAACAATGTGAAAGAATTTTGTGCGGTGAGTAAGAATATAAAAATTCTCATCCATAAGGCAGCAGCCCAGAAAGACAGAAAGCAGAGCCTAGCCTGGAAAAAGGAAGCGGTTTTCATCGAACTGACTGACACATGAGTAATGTTTATGCACCATAGGGCAATGCACAAAGATAAAAAAAAATCCACTGCAGAAATAAAAATATATTCTCTAGTGTATAATGGTTTACAAGTACTTTCAAACATGTAATCTAAACAACCAATGGAAAAAGCAGGCTCTCTCAGGCCTCCCCATCCAGACCCAACTCCTACAGTCCTTCATAGTCTCAACGTCTCCATCAGAGAAGCCACATCTGGAGATGCTGTGGGAGTAACTGGGATGATACAGAAGCGCATCATCACTGAGCCCTGAAACCTCCCAATACCAACAACCGTCACGGTTCAGATCTGGAATGACCCTCACATGTGGTAAAGGTCTGACACCCAGTCTGGCAGTATTTGTTGGTGGGAGAACCTTTAAAAGGTGGGGGTCTAACAGGAGACTCTTGGCTCATCTGTCTAAAGGGCATGTGGAACTCTGGGCTTTTCCTCTTTCATTTGCTCCCCAGCCATGAGGTGAACAGGTCTGAGCCACTGTGCTGCTGCAGGCTCAAACGCAACGGGGCCAGTAAGGAAGGTGCTAGAACCTCCAAAACTGTGGCCACGAGATTTTACTGTTTTTTTTTTTATTTATTTAATCAATTCTGCCGAGGGGGTAGGACCAGGGTGTGACTCCTGCCAGGTCAGCAGTGTAAAACTTTCCTTTCCTTTCCTTTCCTTTCCTTTCCTTTCCTTTCCTTTCCTTTCCTTTCCTTTCTCAGGTGAGTGCTGCGGGTGTCTGTGGTAGTGTTGGAACCGTAACATACATGAGGGGCACAGCCCTCCGATGTCTTCCTTGAAGACAGGGAAACCAAGGCTCCGAAAGACTCAGTGATGTTGCCAAGGATGCACAACAGACACTGACAGGGAGGATTTGCACCGTCTGATACTTCTTCAAACCTTCTTTTCAGATTCTGTTTAGAAAACAGCTGGTGGGATGGCTCAGTGGTTAAAAGTACTGACTGCTTTTCCAAAGGTCCTGAGTTCAATTCCCAGCAACCACATGGTGGCTCACTGTAGGAGAAGCTAAGGTGGGAGGAGTAAGGAAAAGGAGGAGCGAGGTGAGGGAGAGAGAGATGTAGGAGACACCATGGATGACCACGCATGTACCAGGAACAGTCCTGAGTAACAACTTATATCTAGGTAAGTTAATTGGGAAACATCTATAATTATGTGGGCGTATTGTTATTGAGCATTACCAAATATATAAAGCCTTTGATTAATATTTAAGCATTAGAGTCTCATTTCCTACAGGGTCCACATGGAAGGCGGGATGGTCTGGGCACAGCCCAGTCTTGTGGAGAGACCGTGGAAGATTGGCAGAGCTATCTCCCACACTGGTGTCTCGTGGGTGGCAGGGCTGGTGTCTCTGGCCTCCTGAGTGGACTGCCCGAGCTTACACCACTGCCACTCCTGGCCGCAGGCCTAGGCTAGTCGGGAACATGGTGGCTGATTAAGAAAAGCCAGGTTGAATACCACAGATCTAAATAATTACCTCAACAGCTCACAACCATCTTTAATGGGATCCAGTGCCCTCTTCTGGTGTGTCTGAAGACAGCGATGGTGTACTCGTATAAGTAAAATATTAATTCTTTAAAAAATAAAAACAAACAAAAACAAACAAACAAAGGAGCCTACTTAGAGAAAAGGGGAAATGTTCCCCAAAACCTTACTCAGAAGTTAGCCAACACTAGGAGGAAATCCTGCTGGGCTGAGAAACCTGGTATTTGGGCCCAGCTCACATTCACCAGACTGAAATGCCTTTCTCTCTCTCTCTCTCTCTCTCTCTCTCTCTCTCTCTCTCTCTCTCTCTCTTTCTCTCTCTTTCTGTGTGTGTGTGTGTACTTTCTTAGTAAAATGAATTATCCTGCCCCATTCCTCGAACCATTATGAGATTCAAATAACATCACGCAGTCAACAATTCTAGAATCTGTTCAGTAGACACAAATGCACAGAACGCTCTCAGAGCAGAGTGGTACTCAACATTTCGACTGAACCTGTGACCAACTGGGCTGGACACACTCACATCCACACACGTGCCCTCCTCCACACTCGACAGTAATTGGCTATGCTATTACATCCTAAGCGTCCTCATCACTTTAGGTGGAGGCCCGTGTGTTCTCTCCGTTAAGGCAGCATCGTAGGAGACCCACTGCCTCTCTGTTCCAGGATTGGAACAGATATGGATCTTTTGTGATTGCCTTGGCTATTGGGCCTGGTATATAAGTGAAAAACATATACCAGGCCCCTCTTTCCATGGAGCTGACATTCTAGTTCACGGAGAATTCCAGTAAATGAGCAGAGAGAAATAAGGACTGCAGATGAGGCTGAAGGCATGGAGATAGTAAAAGCATGAACATAAAGCATGAGCCAAGCACCTTGGCTACATTTTCAGATCTCACGGTCAGCTGACTTTACAAGCTGGTCGTATTGCAGAAAGGAGTCCGTCATGCAGGCATCTGGAGAAATCGGTGCTCAGTGATGGAAATGGCAGATGCCAAGACCAGAAGAATTGGCCTGTCACACTAAAGAAGGATCAGAACAGCCAGTATGGGCCAAGGAGCCATGAGCAGAGAGCTGATAGTTTACCAGACCCCGTCCTCAAAGAGCCTGGTGGGTTGTATGTGCTACGGGTTGCATTTGACGGCCATGAGATCTTCAAACCTGGAAACCTCCTCTACTAAGAATTTGTTTTCTATACAAGCCAGCAATCCACCTGCCTCTCGAAGACTGCGAGCTAAATAATTCTCTTTTATGAATTACTCAGACTCCAACACTCTCACAGTGGAAAGCACCCAAGGAAAGTGTAGGGAAAAGGACCAAGGAAGATGCGAATATTTAGAAGTCTACAGGGAAGCTGGCCAAGCTGCATGGCAGCCAGGGCGGCCTGAGGACTGGACAAGGCAAAGACACGTCATCCCTAAAGCTAAAGAGAATCCGGAGCTGTCTGCAATGCTCCTAAGGGATCAAAGGCACTAGACAAGTGACGTTTGGATTTGGCAGTGTGGGGTCAGGGAGAGGACTAGTTCTGAGGGGAAGGAAGGAGTAGAGAGGTGTGGCACCCAGCTTCTTTTAATAGCTGTGTGGTCAAAGGTCCACGTGCAGCCCAGAAGGGATGGTGGCAGACCCTTTTCTAAAGATAGAAGACTGCTGATCTTGCAGAGCTGCGAGTTCTAGAGAGGTACCCGATGAGTTGTGCGGCAAAGTGGACCAAGGAGCCGGGAGCTGTCATCTCTGAGCGGAAATCCTGCGCCGTGGTCTCGAACCACCAGCAGGCGAAGCTTCCCTCAGTGACAGCTCCGCTAGGGGACACACACCAGGGATCCAGCCCCTCGCAGACCGCAGGGCCGCCCCGCCCTTCACGTACACGCGCCCCGTCACCCTTCCCATCCACCAGCCTTGGAGTTGTACGTGGCGCAGGCTGCTGCGCATGCTCCACACGGACGGGCGGGCGGGGCAAGGCGAGGCAGCCCGCACGGCTCGGGTGGGCGGGGCCGTGCCACGCAGCCGACCGGAGCCACGCCCCCAAGCCTGGGCGGCAGTGCGCGTTCCCGAGCGGCGCGCGCCCCACGCCTTCCCTCCCGAGGCCTCGCGCGCGCACTGCCGCCCACCCCGCGGCTGCCATCGCCCCCTCAGAAAACCAGCGGCGCCATGTCTTCGCCTCCAGAAGGAAAGCTGGAGACCAAAGCTGGACACCCGCCCGCCGGTACTGACTGGTTTGCACTTTGTCTCGGGGCGCCGGGCGGGGGCGGGGCAGGATCGGGGTCCTGGTGCCCCGTTCTAGTGCGATGCGCTTGCGCGCAGGTGAGCGGGACCCCGGGGTGCAGGTGAACGGGGCGCAGGATCCAGCCCTCCCCGGCGGGGACACCCTAGTTGTACAAGTCAAAATTCAAACGTAGGCAGTTTCTATGAGATTGCACAGATGTTTGGCGGGGAGACCCCCAACGATTAAAAGGTAGTGTTGTATCATGATGATTAATCGTGGGCTGACAGCATTTCACACTGACAGACCAAAGAAGCGGAAATAATTATGATCATTAATCACCCGGCATCACTTCCTTTAGTCACTTACTTTTCGCATCCAACTTTCTCTTGAAAGTGGTTAAAATGATACTTTTAAAGCAAACCCCAAACTTTTAAGCCAAGGCAGATCAGTCCAGTAAAGAGCCGCCTTTCTTAGGAACTGGCAAGCAACCTTTGTGTGCCTTGGGCAGCCGCCTCCACTCAGTTCCTGTTTGTTCCTCCATGGCTGGAGGAGTTGGCATGTCTACTGCCCTTTTTTGTGGCGGGGATACCTGTGGAAGTACCACAGTGAGCCAGCCTGAAGGCCGTGGGTCCCAGAGGCCAAGTCTACTTAAAGGTCCTCTGGGTCTTGACTGAACACGCTGGTGGTATAAAACCAGAGCTTCTCCCGGCAAACCTTAGAGGACTGTATGGGGTAGGGACACATTTGTGCCATCTTTCTGTAGTTAAAAACTCATACTCTCCAGCTGCTGGCCCCACTGGAGAGCAGGAGATTCAGGGGAGAGGAAATGGCCTTTAAAGTATGCTGTATTCCAAAGCTGACTCACTGTGACAGTGCTTCTTAACTACCCTAACTGGAGTTAGGGGTCGTAGCTATGGAAGTGTTCAGTATAAGATACCATGATCGAGTATAGAAGGCTCTGGGTTCAATCCTCACTTCTTACAATACAAATCAAATTGTGGAAAGATTACATTTAAGACATTGGCGCCTATCCCTAACCAAGTCTGTTGGCCATTGGTATGGTTTGTTTCTCCAGTGGAGTCTCACTGAGTATGTTAAACCACACTTCAGGGTAGGCCCTATGCCCCAGTAAATAGATGGCCAACGCAAAAAGAAAGCAGTGGTATTTTTGTAGACTTCTTGTCTCGTGTGGCTTTCTTTGGGCATTTTAAAAAATCTTACTAGTCTATTGCTTGTGTATTTTGGTTTGTGGTTTTGTGGACTCTGTGTGTGTGTGTGTGTGTGTGTGTGAGAGAGAGAGAGAGAGAGAGAGAGAGAGAGAGAGAGAGAGAGAGAGACTGAATTGGGGGAAGACTTAGGAAAGAGGAGAAGCATAATCAGACTATATTGTGTGAAAAAATCTACTAAAAAAAAAACACAAAACAACAACAACAAACATTTCCTTTAAGGAAAACCTTGACCTTTAATTCCTAAAGGAGTAGTTTGGGTCCACCTGCCTGTGGCTCTGAGCTGTTTGGCGTGGCCCACACAGTAGGATCACATGCCTGATTCTCCCAAGATAAGCAGTTCATTAGTGTGTGCTGTTGGAAAGACATTGAGTCAAAACCAGCACTAATTAAGTTACACATAGAGACTTTTCATATGAACACCTTAGGATCAGAGAAAGAAAAACACATGTGGGGGAGGTTTGACTTGAGAGTTCTGATTTTCTTTAGTTTGTAAACAGGCATTTGGATTAGAAATGAAATACGTTGTTTATGCCTGCAGAGAGAACCACATTGTTAGAGTCTTGAGGAACACCACTGGGCTCCTCTGGGACTCTGGGTTTCTTACCTGAAATTAGAGGCTGTAGCAGATGGTGGGTCTCTGGGCCAGCCATCTGTGGGGCCCAGCCTCAACCTTGGGCCTGTATTTTTTGCTTCTTTGCCTCTGTTTGTTTCTCTAGTTAATCAAACAGCTAAATTCAGGTCATTTACCTGACCCAAAAGTCTAGCAGGAGAGTAGCTGTCAGTGTCACATGCTGCATATCCCAAGGCTAGCTAGACCTGTGAGCCCAGAGGGGTGGATGGGAAGGGGGTGGTTCACTAGTGGTTCCCTAGTGGTCATGTTTCTCCCTATCCGCAGAAGACCGAGGGTACTGCCTGTTTATGGCAGGAAGGCCATAGGGTGCTCCCCCCACCCCACCCCCAGCAGTACCACAGAGCAGCGATGCTGCAGAATAAATATTTTTTTAAAAGAAGAAAGGGCCACCCACTAGTAAAGAAGAGTAAAGGTTTGCCAAGGACACAGTTCATAAGTCAAAATGACTGCCTTAAAAACTCTGGGAAGGCTTTCATTAAATGCTTAAATTGTGTACCGACTTGTGTTTACATCTTTAACTGGAAATAATAAAATTCTCTCACCACTCTTCTGCTGTCCTCTCTTGTGTTTTCTCTTTAACAACCCTCCTCCCTACAGGGCCTCCATTTCCCTCATGACTCTTCCACCTCTTACTGTCTCCTACTCTTCTGGTTTCCAGACGTACTAACATCTTCACCTTGGGGGGAAACAGGGAGCTGGCACAGTGCCTGGAAGAGATACTCGGTAAATAGGTCCAGGAACATTTCCTTAGGGTGCATGTGGTGCATTTCCCACCCTGCTCTGATGGCATGCCTGCAGCCTCCCAGTCTTCCCCGGCGCACAGGTGGCTGGATGTTGAAGAGTCAGGAGGGAGGAAACGGTGACTAGAACCAACAAAATTTTACTTATGTAAATGGTACTTGGCACTTTCACTACCATGGTCCACTGTGGACGGTGCTGTTTAAATCCCTGGCAGAGCTATTTGAGGTGACTTGCTAACCCCTAAGAGCTAGTTATTGGAGATTGGCACCCAGGACCTCCGCAGCCTGACCGTGTCACTCCCCGGATGCTGCTCTCAAGCTGTGGAATTTATTGGCGGACATGCCAAAGGAAAGTGGAGGGAAGCACTGAAGGATGGTGCTACAGAGACCTTTCTGTAATAGGTGGCACTTCATTGTCTTCTGCACACATTTCTGTGATAGGTGGCACTTCATTGTCTTTTGCACACATCTCCCTAACAGCAAGTTAGCCTGTCGTCCTAACTATACCCACCTGCTGTTCTTCACTGGAAAATGTATGTGGAGAGACGGGGTGAGAGCATTCTTCTCAGGGCTCTGACTGAGGTAGCCACGTATTAAAAAGTGGTTTTCAGTTCTAACAGCAGCCGTGCAGTGGCCCACACTACACATGGTGACTCATCCGCGCCAGCCCCATGTGACTTGGACAAAGAAGAGCTTGGCAGATGCATGTCTCAGATCTATAGCCCCGACCACATGTACCCATTCCCCAGCCAAAACTATAAGTAAGTCAAGTCTCACAAATCTCATAATACGATCCCATCGAGTGTAGCTGATTTTCTGTGTTTCCCCCCCCCCAACAAAAGTTCTTCTCACATCCTCCACAGAACCGAGATGAATGAAAATGTAAACACAACTGTGTATGTCAAGTATAGCGGGAAACAGACCACTCGCTATTTTCAGCAACCCACGTAATTCAGGTCCATTACAGTAGTCACTCAGACATGGCTTCAGGATGCATTAAAGCCCGTGGATGATAATTGACCCTGAAGCACTTTCTTGTGGAAGTTTTTTTGGATTATCCGGAGTATTCTGTTGCTCGAAATGGAAAATGAATCTGCCTTTTATGGTGGCGAGCTTCCTGTCATGTTCATGGTAAGCAGGTTCCCATGCTCAGCCAGTGAACCAGCCATTGACCACAGGCTGAAGGGAGCAAGAGCCCTCTGCTTCCACTCCCAGCATGCCAAGGGGCAGAAGACCCTGTCGTGACTAGTTTTTGGTAACAGGTACTGCCTCTGCTCCTTAGACATCTCTGGCTACTTCTCCCTTCTGGAACCTTCTGTGCGTGTCCTTTTCTTTCCCCTTTGTTTCCTGATCTGGATTGGCGGCTGTCTCCCATCCATGTATCAGACACTTTTCATTTGCATAGGGAATATTCACGTTGGTAAAACAGCCCTGTGAGGTGCAGCACACGAGCTAGAGGATCCGGAGTTTCTTTTGCTCATGTTGAGCCTCCCACAAGGAGCAGCGTGGAGTCCCAGACGCTTTGTACCCTTCCCCGGTGATGTCTGTCTCTCCCTAGTAGAGTCACCCTTCCTAACTAAGATAGACAGCATTTCCTGTTCCCTTCTGTTCAACACTCCTGTCTTATGTATCCCAGGGGAGTTCTGATCCCACCTCCCTTTGCATACGTGCCTCTGAAACGCATTGTCTGTGCTTAATCTAACCTAAACGTGCAGGTTGTTCTCTTGTGTTCTCGCCACCAAAACGCCCGTCAGAACCCTTCCATCTCTTAAGGGTGGATTAGCCTCCTTTTAGATAACATGTCAACAGCTCCTCTCTAGAACAAGGGCAGCTGCCGTTACACAGCGTGCTTTAGGATCTGCTGTCAGGCTTGAGGGACATTGGTGTGCATTATAAACAGCTGTCCCCAGTCCCCATCAGATCCTGTGCCCAGTGCCTGCAGGATCCTGGAAGAACTTTCTCTCCCGACTCCACCATCCTGCTACAGGTTTTTCCAGCCATTTGCTGAGCCTTAACAATAGTTGCCAGCAACTCCCTCTCAGTGCTCCACACTGTAACAGCTGAGGGGAGCTTGGTCTATGGATGGCAGGTGGTCACTAGCCCCCTTCGTTTGTTTCCAGGGCCAGTCTGATCAAACAACAACAACAAAAAGCTTTGTTTACCCCCTTTCCACTGGGACAGGAAAGCGTTCTACAGATCGCTTTTTATTTCTAGCTTTCCTCCCTCCTACAGGTGGTGATATAGTGATCAGGACCTGTCCATAGTCTGTCTCTCTCTATGCTTGGAAGGATTCCCAGTGATTAATGATGTAAATCATCTAGACCTGTCTGGTCCAGCTGTGCCCTGAGGGAAACAGGCGTCCTGCGTGATGCAGGCCCTGTCACAGGGGACTAAAGTGTG